GTGGAAAAGTCTGAGAGAATCACTGTACCACATCATTTATTCCTTCATTTCCATTCATTCAACAATTATTATTTGGGGGCCTCTGCCCCAGATACTACGCTAGGGTGATGCGACATGAAAGATACAATAATGGGGGTAGGGACAAAGTGCAGTGAACAGAAGAGGAGGATCACCAAGGCCAGCTTAGGGTTAGGGCAGGCTCCACAGGGGGTGGTATCTGAACCAAGACATGACAGATGAGGAATCTGATAGAGGAGGAAGTCTCCAGGCAGAGGGACTGGAGCGGTAGCTCAACATTATAGGAGCATCAAATATGGGGCGGGGATACGGGGGGAAGAAATGGTGGGAAATGATAACACGATATTTCTTCCTGAGCACTTACTACATACCAGGTACTGTGTTAAGTGCATTCAATCCTCAAAACAACCCTATGTGATAGGTACTATTATTACTCACCATTTTACAACTGAAGAAACTGAAACTTAGAGAAGTAACCTGTTCAACATAAAGCCAGAAAGGTGCCAGCTCACGAAAGGCCTTTCCTATATGCTGCGCAATGTATTCTGGTATTGATACACTGTGCCAGAGCCAAACAAAACACCACCATAAGGTAGTTTACGTGGAGTACAGGTGACTGAAAGAGACAAATACAAGTCCAGAGGAAGGGAGAGATTTCTGCAGGCTGAATGGTTAAGAAAGCTCTATGCACAAGTTAGAACTGGGCTAGGCTGCAGTGGAGGGAAGGACCAGACAGAGAACAGGGTGTGAGCAAAGGCTGTACAAAGTCTGCTCTGACTTGGGCACCATGGCAAGTCTGCAGAGGGTAACATGGTAGGAGACAGTACAGTCAGGAAAACAGGGAGGTGACTAGGATGGAAGGGAAAGTCAGGGGTGGATCTGGGAGGCCCAAGGAGCCAAATGAGCCAAAAAGTTTACCATTTTGAGCAGAATGGTAAACTTAGGATGAATCCAAGTGACTCAAAGAGGAGAGGCTGTTGCGATGGTCCATAAGCAAGATTATGAAGGCCTGGATGAGCAGGTTATCATGGCCAGGCCAAAAAGGGGCAGCACCTTTGGGAGCAGAGTGTCAGAGTGATGACAAGCATTCAGGCTGTGAAATGGGACTGATCTGAGTTCCAACTCGATTGTTCAGAGCCTTCAGTTTCCACAGTATTAAGTGGGGACGAAACTATCTACTTCACTTGCTTGCTATCAGGTTGAAATAAAATGAGATGAGATGTGTGAAACATTCAAACAACAACAAAGATTGTATCCAGTGCTTCAAATCTACTAAACTTTATGATGTCCTGCTCACGATCTTGTTCTCAATACAAGTCCTGTATCATTCCTTTAAACATTCAACAAATATTTATGGAGCACCAACTACCTACGAGTCACACACTGACAATTCCTCCTCTATAAAGTTGTCCCTGCCTGGCCCAGCCTGAGCCATTCCCTTTTTGAACTGCTGACCACCCTGCCCCACTAGTCATCTCAGCACTTACGCATATACGATTTTGCAGGTTTTTTCCCAAGCCTCTTCCATCACCTAACATACATGATTTTGTATCAATTGTTTCATGTGTGATTTTCTTTTCCACAAAACTAATCATTGTAGGGGACAGAAAACAATGTTGTATTTGTTGTTATCATGAGGAAGATCACATTTCATAAGAAAAGTAACTAAGAGGGGGGTCCTTAGCTTGGTTTTGCTCAAGAACTCAGCTCCCTAAGCATCACATCTGTTTTCTAGCATAATGCGCAGCCTGCTATAGTGCTGGTTTTCAAACCATTTCCTAACCCTTTCAACAAATAAAATCAATACATAAAATTGATAAAAGCAGATCAGCTCTGGTTAAAATGAACATGAGGCCTGAAGTAGCAACCTAATGTCTGCTCCCAACTGTCAACTCCTGGGGCACCTACACTGAACCCCTCAGCTATCTGGAACCAGCTTGAAAACCTATGGAGGCCGGGCGCAGTGGCTCACGCCTGTAATCCTAGCACTCTGGGAGGCCGAGGCGGGAAGATCACTTGAGCTCAGGAGTTCGAGACCAGCCTGAGCAACAGTGAGACCCTGTCTCTACTAAAAATAGAAAAATTAGCCAGGCGTGGAGGTGTGCACCTATAGTCTCAGCTACTCGGGAGGCTGAGGCAGGAGGATCGCTTGAACCCAGGATTTTGAGGTTGCTGTGAGCTAGGCTGACACCACTGCACTCTAGCCCAGGTGACTGAACAAGACTTTGTTTCAAAAATAAATAAATAAAAATAAAAAAATAGAAAAGAAAACCTATATGGCAGGAAGTAGAGTACTGTCAGGAGACCCCTAGCTCCCCCACACACAAAGTTACCTAATTAATTTGACCTCTCCCCTCCATCTGCTCTCCAAAAAGCCCTCCAGTCATTACTCCCTAGACAGGAAAGTCCCAGGCTTAAAGCGAATGCCTTAAGCACAAGGGGATACTTTTTCAAACCAGAGTTCCTGAGCAATGCTCATACCAACAGTGTACAATTTATTAAAGCCACATTTTTTTTTTCCTTTTTCTTCTAACAAATGTCAAACTTCCTCAAAGCAAACCCAAGCAAAGCTAAAATAATGCCTAGAGCAATTAGAGGAAAACTGGAACAAAGAAGCTTTCTAAGTGGCTTGGTAGAATTCTGTAAAGAACAGTCCTCACAATACACTTCCCTCTATTCATCATCAGTCAGAAATGATGGTACGGAAATTCTATCAACACTAGGACCCGTCTTTTTGCTGCTAAAATAAATCCAAACAACAGCAATGGGCTTAGTGCAGGCACTTGAATCATCAGTGAATTAGAATTTTTCAACATTCAGCACCAACAGAAACGAGTCAGTGGGCCCGAGAAAAGTGAAAACAGAAGTTGCCATAGTAACTTGCACATTTACCCTAAAATGGCGGGAGTGGGGGTGGGGAAGTAGGTCAGTATTTCTGCTTAACTAGCTCTATTCCTTGTCTCAAACAGCATCCTCCTCCCGCCTCAGCACCAACAAGAGTAAGAGGGGGAAAGCCAGGTGATTTTTTTGGAAAAAGCAGGGGGTGGGGAGGAGAATCAAGAGGATAGCCAAATAAAAAACCTCACGAGCTCCCTGGGACTATTCCCAGGGAAAGCAGTTGCTGATCAAGGGCACCGGTACTAAGAAACTGTTGCTGGGTTACTACAAATCAGAAATTGCCACTTCTCCTGTAGCAGTTTAAGTACATTTAATGGAACACTTGGGAATGCATTATTAACAGCTTGGGTTGGGGTAGTGGCGGGGAGTGAGGAATACTCTAGCATGGGAGAAATCTGAGGTCCTTAGCAAGAGGCATTCTTTGATGGTTGAGAACTATGAACAGGGCGGAAGGATGCTCTAAAAGAGGGAGCCAGGGTGGCTTCGGGATTCCTTTCCAAAATAAGCTGATTTTTTAACACAGAAACACAGTGCCCTTTGATACTTGGATCTGACATGGCTACTAATCCAAGAGGGCCAGGGTGACTCAGGTCTCTGAGCTGGACTCTGGTCTCTGAGCTGGCATGGGGAGTGCCAGGGCTTATTATCAGCTCTTCCACCTGCAGTGCCAACAAATGCGGGAAGCAGGTTAAGCAGAAAGCATTTGGAAGCAGGTGCTGTTCTACTTTCCTGCAGCTGTTAGTGTCTGTATGGGGATAACTCAGGGCATTTACTAATGATTTTAACCACTTGGTGTGAAAGCCTGGTATCCAGATGACATAAAGAATAATCCTTCGGGGTGAGGGGAAGGGGGACAGTCAAAAAAGCAGGAGTATCTTTTTAACCAGTGACTAATTCAAACACAGACATCTAAACACCCTACTGCACTGTCCAGGAGTCTAGGCTTCCATGGGGAAGGCCATTCAAAGGGCACTGGGGAGCGTATTTCAGCCCAGGAGCACACCCAGCTGCAGAGTGGAGGAAGGACGGGCTCAGTCTCAAATTTGAGCTCAAGTTTTCAGAAACAAGGTAGTATCTGCAAATTATCCCCTTGTGCTTCCACACGTCTCTATTCTTCTGCCCTACAAGAGCAGGGAGAGAGACTCAGAGACGCAGCAACATTCACCATGACTTTAGAGACCAAGATCTTGGGAGAGAAGCACCCAGAACAAGCCTGCTGTCTGGACTGAGGAGAGAGAAATGGAGCCACAGGTACGAGGCCTCCATAAATACTATGGCAAGAAGGAACACGTGCTGAGCAGTGTGTTCAGAAACCGAAGGTAGGAGGCTCCAGGCAACAGGAAGTCAGTCACTCTTGGGAGGGAACTGTGAAAACAAACAGATGCCATTCTGTCACCACCTCTCAGCACAGCCCAGAAAGTCATTCAGGCTGGCCAGCTCAGAAGCGTTTTTCCTTTACATACAGCAGCACAGAGGACAAAGAGACATTTGTGAAAAAATCATTTTTAAAAACTTTTATTCCAGAAAATGTTCAAGCATGCACAAAGTAGAGAGAATGAGATAATAACCTATCACCCAGCTTCAAAAATGGTTAATATTCTAGTGCTAATCTTAAGGCCTAGCTAGAACCCTTCACTAGAACGATCCCTAAGTGTCACACATGGAAAGCCCGCAACCCAAAAAGGCAACTTCTAAATTCACAGGAACCCCAGGAGGCGGCAATTCTAGGAAAGCAGCAGTAGGGAAGGAAAAGGAACAGACTTCAACTCTTGAGGAGTGTCCACCAGAGTAATTACGCAACGTGTTTCTACAGGTCATATTATCTGAATTTCTAATTCTTAAAAGATGCATTTCTGTCCGCTGAGCAAAATCACTGTTTTGCAAAAACCCTCAAGGGAAGGCTCCACGGGCACCAATGCCAGCCTTCCAGGACTCTGTCTTGGTTACAACCACTTTCCATTTTGACATAAGCATTTAGGACACACTTGAGCAAAACAAGACAATACAGCTTTGGTTCATTTGTGACCCACTAAAACCCACCAAGTGCCAGCATTTGGAGAAGCTGAGGCAAAGTCTCTACTTACTGGTACTGTTACATCATCATAAAAACTCCAAGCTAAGGCCCATCTCATTGTCCGACCTTGACAGAATTCGGTGTAGGTGACTTTAGGAACCTGAAACCGACAAACATGGCATCTCGTCAAACTGACGTCACTCTACCAATGTGTTTCTGGCTGCTGCTTCACGTTAAATATCTGTTGGTCTTTCTTTATAATCAGCTTACAAACACTATTATCAAACACCAGTTAAACACAGCTGCCTAATAATGAATGAATACATTATCCTCTCAACAAAGTTGTCTTTTTTCCTTCCACAAAACATTAGAGAGAATTTACAGATCTGGCTTGAAGGTTCAAATATTTGAAACACCTTAAACAGAGAATCGTTTGTAAAATGATTCAAGTGGTTTTTGGTTTTCTTTTTTAAGAATGAGTAGAATGCCAGAGAGAAACCAGAGATCAGAAGCTTGGTTTCTGCTACTGACCCGCATCCAAACCCTTTTGCTGAAAAGTCGTCTTACTCATGCCAAACACCATAAACTGGGAGGGAAGTGGTCGGGGAAGTATTTGAGACCTGCCTTTCAAAACAGGAGCAGAAGGCTATCCTCATGCAGACTGTCACCCTACTGGGAAGCACGATGGCCTGATACTGTTCTGGTTCTAGCTGTTCTTTCATAACTAGCTGTGTGGCCTGGAACAAGCCCTTTGCCTATCTAGCCTTCAGTTCTGCATCTATAAAGGAGTCAGATGAGAGGTCAGTGGTAGACATCAGGTTTTCTGACTTCTGGTTTTTCTCCGACATCCTACCCATCCTGTTTTCCTCCACCTCTTTTTTGTTTTAATTGTCAAAGAAGACCTTGTTTTAACAATCTACAAAAAGTCTCATTTTGCCTTAAAATTACGGAATTTAAAAAACAAGGAAAAAACAAAAACAACACCACATTTAGAGTTTCAGAGTTATAGAATAAAGGAAAATTCTACACTAAAACTGCCATCAAAGTAGATACAGGCTAGGCGCGGTGGCTCACGCCTGTAATCCTAGCATTCTGGGAGGCCGAGGCGGGCAGATTGTTTGAGCTCAGGAGTTCGAGACCAGCCTGAGCAAGAGCGAGACCCCGTCTCTACCAAAAATAGAAAGAAATTAATTGGACAGCTAAAAATATATATAGAAAAAAATTAGCCAGGCATGGTGGCACATGCCTGTAGTCCCAGCTACTTGGGAGGCTGGGCAGTAGGATTGCTTGAGCCCAGGAGTCTGAGGTTGCTGTGAGCTAGGCTGACGCCACGGCACTCACTCTAGCCCAGGCAACAAAGTGAGACTCTGTCTCAAAAAAAAAAAAAAAAGTAGATACAGCAGAACGGTAACGACAAAGCCTCACCCCTTGTATGCGAAGCTCTTCCTTCAGAGGTGCCAGGCTGCATTTCTTTCCCAGCATACAGCTATACCACCTACAAAACAAAATCAGGCAAGTAAGCATTGTTTACATGGTTGTATTTTCAAACTCAGAATTACTCCAGTGAACAAGCTGAGAACAGTAGTAAACAAACATTTAAGTTACAAGTGACAATAATAAGAATTGCACATAATGTATTTAGACAAAGACTGAATCTAGTGATGAACACAAGCCTAAAGCAACTTAAAAAAACCAAAAATCCACTTAGCCCCTCCAACACTTCAGGGCTGTATATATTCGTAAAGAGAGTGAAAGAGAGAGGTCTCATCTGTCACCAAAGGCCATTTACCTCTAGGACAGAAATTAGTCAATAATAACAACAAAAATGTGCATAAACACCCCCTGCACCATACTAAGAGAACTTATAAAATCCAGCATGAACCTGTGATTGTGAGATATTTCCACCTGCAAGTAATTTAAGGATAGATAATGCATTAGAGTTTCAGCAGATCATGGCATCAATTTGTTCTACAGCAAATACAAATCCAGAAGAGAGAGTGTGGAGTGAACTGGTTAAAAGGTAAAGTGTTAGAATTTATTTCTTATTATTCTATGATCTCAGAGACAGAAACAAATAAGGTGAGCCCTACAACTGCCAAAGCTTACTGCTTGAAGGAAATTTCCAGGCTGCAGTGCAGGGAAAAGAAATTCAAACACAGCGCAACAATCTTGCTGAATTGAGGAGACAGAGATGGAAGTTCAGAGAAGCTGAGGCAGTTAAGATTTGTAAAGCAAATTAACAACAGCAAATTAAACCCAAGTAAGAAGAAAGGAAAAAATAAAGATCAGAGCAGAAACCAATGCAAGAGAAAACAACAACAATGAAGAAGAATAATGAAACCAAGAGCTGGTTCTTTGAAAACAAATTTTTTTGAAGTCAAAAAAAAAAAAGAGAAGACATAAATTATTGATATCAGGCTTGAAAAAGGGGACATCACCACAGATCCTACAGACTTTAAAAGGGTGAGAAGAGAATATTTATGAATAACTTTTTGCCAATAAATTTCACAACTTAGATGAAACAAGACAAATTTCTTAAAAAACACAAACTGCCAAAGCTTGCTAAGAAATAGATAACTTGAATAGTTCTATATCAATTAAAGAAACTGAATTTATATTAAAATCCTTCCAGGCCCAAGTCACTTCATTGGTGAATTCTACTAAATATTTAACGAAGAAATAATACCAACTGTATACAAACTCTTCCAAAAAATTTAAGAGGAAGGAACATTTCCCAATGCATTTTATGAGGCCATTATTACACTGACAAATACAAAGACATTCTAAGAAAATTATAGGCCAGTAGCCTTCATGAGCATAAGATATAAAAATCCTTAACAAGAAGGGGCAAAGGAAGATTTGGTGAAAGGGTACAAAGTTCCAGTTAGACAAGAGAAATAAGTTTTAGTGATCTATTACATAGCATAGTGACTACAGTTAATAATAACAATGTATTACATATTTTAAAATTGCTAAAAGACTTTAAATGTTCTCACCACAAAAAAATGATAAGCAGGTGAGGCAAGGGACATGTTGATTAGCTTGATTTAAGCACTCCACAATGAACACAGTCAAGGGCCACATATCATTTCAGTCAATGATGGATCACATATGTGACAGAGGTCCCATAAGATTTAAGATTATAATGGAGCTGAAAAATCCCTATTGCCTAGTGATGCTGCTACTGTCATAGCACAATTATTTTTATTTTTTATAAATTTAATGTAGCTTATGTGTACAGAGTTTATAAAGTCTGCAGTAGTGTACACTAATGTCTTAGGCCTTCACATTCACTCACAGAAAAATTAGCCTGGCATGGTGGTGGGCACCCATAGTCCCAGCTACTCAGGAAGCTAAGCCAGGAGGATCGCTGAGCCCAGGAGTTGGAGGCTACAGTGAGTTAGGATGTGATGTCATGACACTCTAGCTTGGGAGACAGAGCAAGACCCTGTCTCAAAACAAAGAAACAAACAAACAAAAAAAAAAATGAAAGAAGCCAGACATAAAAACTTACATTTTGTATGATTCCACTTAAATGAAAAGTCTATAATAGGCAAAACCATTGTGATGAAAGTACATGGGTGGCAACTAATGGCTAGGAGTGGGCGGGGACAGACTGTAGAGGGGTACTAGGGAACTTTTTAGGGTGATGGAAATGTTCTATATCTTTTTTTTTAAGAGACAATTTCTTGCCCTGTCACCCAGGCTGGAGTGCAGAGGCATGATCATTGCTCACAACAGCCTCAAACTCTTGGGCTCAGGCAATCCTCCTAGCTCAACCTCTGGAGTAGCTGAACTACAGGCACCCACCACCACACCTGGCTAATTTTTAAATCTTTTGCAGAGACAGGGTCTCACTATATTGCCCAAACTCCTGGCCTCAAGCGATCCTCCTGCCTCGGCCTCCCAAAGTGCTAGGATTACAGGCTTGAGCCACTGCAGCCTATTTCTTGATTATGGTGGTGGTAACATACACATTTGTCAGAACTCATCCAAATTGTAGAATTTTACTGCTATTCAAGTTTACCTCAATAAAACTGATTTATAAATGTGTTTATATTATACTTTCAAATATACACAAAAGAATAGTCAACAATATAGTTATGTTTTGTACATTTACTTCTTGTTTTATAACATAGCTTAGTCACACTACCAATATATCCTGTCTCCTGCTCTCACCAAGCATCACAATTACTCCTGTCACTCAAAATTCATCTAACTGCACATTATTTTAAGAAGGAAATTTCAGATTAAGGGATATATATTCAACATTTAATTGTTTATATACAAAACGGTTACTACGAAAGTGATTTTAAAATGACTAAAATTCTAAGAGAACTTAAGAGTCTCTAAAATCACACATCAGCTTAAAACTATATAAAATTGCCATTTTTATAGGTTGAAAACTGTTAAAGATTGGCAATTTCATGTCTCAACCTAGTACATTAAATAATATAAATGAAAATCTTATTAACTTTAAAAGTATGACAAATACTATTATATTGCTTTAGAAATAGTGGGCATCAACAAATATTTTTTCTTGTTTGTGGGTTCAACAACAGATGATTGCACCTATTTTAGCTTAGTCAATCCTTCTTCCCTTTAAAAATACAAAGAAATAATTGTTCTACCTAAACTACTTAAAAAAAAAAAAGCCAGGAAAATCTATTTTAAGCATAATCAATTTTATTTGGTGGCTTTAAAATATTTGGAAGAAAAATAATATGCTCCCTTTAAGAAGATGGTATAAATAGAGAAATCGTTAATCAGGAATTAAAAGCCTTGGGTACACTAGGAAAAAGATGAAGAAAGAGAAATTAGGAGCAATTAGTGCTCACTTAGTATAAAATAGGTTAATTAACACTTTTCCTTTAAAACTAGCATTCCTGAACAGATAAGGTAGATCAGTGCCACTAGAAGCCAAGAAAGGGCCTAGAAGAGGGGAAAAAAAGATACTATAAGATTCTTCAGGAGGTGAAGGAAAGCAAATATTTAGATAAGTTATTTAGATAAGTAAACATGTCATTGATATTTAACATAAACTTGGGTGAGTTCATTTTTTTTCTTTTCTTTTTTTTTTTTCTAGATAGGGTCTCACTCAGTCGCTCAGGCTGGAGTGCAATGGCGTTATCACAGCCCACAGCAACCTCAAACTCCTGAGCTCCAGCAATCCTCCTGCCTCAGCCTCCTGAGTAGCTGGGACTATAGGTGCACACCACCACGCCTAGCCAATTTTTCTATTTTTTGTAGAGATGGGGGTCTCACTACATTGCCAGGCTGGTCTCCAACTCCTGGGCTCAAGCAATCAATCCTCCCTCCTCGGCCTCCCAAAGTGCTAGGATTATTGGCTTGAGCCATCGCACCCAGCCTCATAGTTCTTTTAACCTTTGCATTAAGCTAAATACGATATTATGAATCTTTTAATATTTAATCTCAACATACTTAGTGTTTTCAGCAAGTTGTTATTTCTTACAGAAAAAGCAGAAGTCACTGGATGTGTCAAAAATCCTATTTTAGCTGCACATTTAAAAAATGCTTACCACTAGATCCTAGCTACTTAACAGGCATCTTGTGACAATTAACCAAAATGCAGGTCAAAAAAAAAAATGAACAAAAGGAAGATCTAGTTACCCAAGAGACTTTGAACCCATTATACTATTTTAATGATGAAAGTAGCACTCGATTCATTACAACATTTAGGAATTCCTCTGAGATGGCAGGTTTCAAGAAAAATTATTTTGAAATAATTTCAAACTTTCAGAAGAACTGCAAGATCAGTACAAACGACTCCAGTATCTCCTTCACCCAGATTCACCAATTAACATCTTCCCCCATTTACCTGTTCTGTGTGTTTTTTTCTAAACTGTTTGAGAATTAGCTACAGACATCACCATGCTCATCAACCCTAATATTTTGGCATATACATTTTAAAAACAAGGGCATTCTCTCTTGTAACCAGAGAACAATTATCAAATTGGTAAAAATTTAACACTCATTCAATACTATCATCTGGAATATAGGCCACATTCAAATTTCACCGATTATCCCAATTTTCTCCCCCGATGCAAGAGCCAATCTAAGATTGTACATTTCATTTACTTGTCATGTCTCTTCAGTCTCCTTCAATGTGGAATAGTTCCTCAGTCTTATGTTCATGACCTTAATATTTTTGAAGAACTGTTTTACAAAATCTCTCAATTTGGTTTGTCTGAAGTTTCCACATCATTAGATTCAGCACATTTTTGGTGTGAATAGCACAGAGGTGCCACTGTATCCTTCTAGGTACATCGCATCAGGTGACGATCGCCTGGTCACAGTGGTGCTCCCTCAGTTTCTCCACAGTAAAGTTTCCACATTTCTCTTTGTAATTACAAGTAATCTGTGGGGAAATAGTTTGAAACCAGGTAATTATCTTGGTTCTTCTTCAAACTTTCTACTGTTGATTCTCCCACGAATCAATTATTAGTATGATGCTGCAAAATGGTGATTTTTCTAACTTTATTATTCTCTCTATATTTATTTATTTATTTTTTGAGACAGAGTCTGGCTCTGTTGCCTGGGCCAGAGTGCCGTGGGGTCAGCCTCGCTCACAGCAACCTCAGACTCCTGGGCTCAAACTATCCTCCTGCCTCAGCCTCCCGAGTAGCTGGGACTACAGGCATGTGCCACCATGCCCAGCTAATTTTTCTATATATATATTTTTTTAGTTGTCCAGATCATTTCTTTCTATTGTTTAGTAGAGACGGGGTCTCGCTATTGTTCACGCTGGTCTCGAACCTCTGACCTTGAGCGATCCACCCGCCTCGGCCTCCCAGAGTGCTAGGATTACAGGCATGAGCCACCGCGCTCAACCTCTCTGTATTTATTTATTGGCATTCACTCTACCCCTCTTTATTTTATTCAATAGGTTATAAACCATTATTGTCATTATTCATTTCAAAATTCGTATTGTCCTAGATTTGGCTTAAGCTGGCTCTATGTCCTTTTGACGTGTCATTTTTTCAGCATTTCGTTACTTTCTGGTAAACTACAAGATATTCCAGGATCATCTTATATTTATCCTGACTCAGCACTAAAATTAACGATTTCTCCAAGGAACTCTGGTTCTTTTTAGTGAGGAATGTTTATTTAGAAACTTTTTTAACCAAATATCTTAAACTGAAGCATAATATAGAAAAACAGATAAAAGCAGAGGTTCAGGGTATAAGCAACTATAATCCTATTCTAAAAATTTCCCTAAGTAGCAAATGCCAACACTTGGCTGCCTATAATAAATAAATAACCAGATAAATGCCCCTACATATTCGCCAAAGCACTCTAATATCTGCCTGATCTCAAAATTTACTATTTAAACTATCATAAGTTCCAAATCTTCATGGCTAAACATAAACTTTTATCCTATGTTCTTGTAAATTATCAGTGACTTTTGTTATTCACAGACATTTGTATATGGATAAGTGGAACCAAGGCTTTTAATTCCTTGTTATTCCTTTTTAGATTGCTTAATGGATGGAAAATACATGATTGTTGATTTTAAGAACTCTCTTCTATGACCACCTAAAGCAGAATCAACCAGCGACTACCTCTTGTAGAGGGATACAGCCAGGCTGTGTATAGTGGTTCACACCTATAATCCCAGCACTTTGGGAGGCTGAGGTGGGACAGTCACTTGAGCCCTGGGCAGCAGAGAGAGAACCCATTTCAAAAAAAAAAAAAAAAAAGTTGATACAGCTAGCTCATCATGGAAAGAGCAACTGGATCCAACCTTTTCTCCCAAGGCCTTAGAGCAGACATCAATCAATGAGACTTTGCCATATCAAACTTCAAAGGGAATTAAACTAAGCACAATACCCTAAGTTAAAACGATGAAGTGCAGGCTGGGCGTGGTGGCTCATGCCTGTAATCCTAGCACTCTGGGAGGCCGAGGCGGGAGGATCGTTTGAGCTCAGGAGTTTGAGACCAGCCTGACCAAGAGCAAGACCCCATCTCTACTAAAATTAGTAAGAAATTAATTGGACAACTAAAAATATATAGAAAAAATTAGCCGGGCGTGGTGGCGCATGCCTGTAGTCCCAGCTACTCGGGAGGCTGAGGCAGGAGGATAGTTTGAGCCCAGGAGTCTGAGGTTGCTGTGAGCTAGGCTGACGCCACGGCACTCACTCTAGCCCAGGCAACAAAGTGAGACTCTGTCTCAAAAAAAAAAAAAAAAGTAGATACAGCAGAACGGTAACGACAAAGCCTCACCCCTTGTATGCGAAGCTCTTCCTTCAGAGGTGCCAGGCTGCATTTCTTTCCCAGCATACAGCTATACCACCTACAAAACAAAATCAGGCAAGTAAGCATTGTTTACATGGTTGTATTTTCAAACTCAGAATTACTCCAGTGAACAAGCTGAGAACAGTAGTAAACAAACATTTAAGTTACAAGTGACAATAATAAGAATTGCACATAATGTATTTAGACAAAGACTGAATCTAGTGATGAACACAAGCCTAAAGCAACTTAAAAAAACCAAAAATCCACTTAGCCCCTCCAACACTTCAGGGCTGTATATATTCGTAAAGAGAGTGAAAGAGAGAGGTCTCATCTGTCACCAAAGGCCATTTACCTCTAGGACAGAAATTAGTCAATAATAACAACAAAAATGTGCATAAACACCCCCTGCACCATACTAAGAGAACTTATAAAATCCAGCATGAACCTGTGATTGTGAGATATTTCCACCTGCAAGTAATTTAAGGATAGATAATGCATTAGAGTTTCAGCAGATCATGGCATCAATTTGTTCTACAGCAAATACAAATCCAGAAGAGAGAGTGTGGAGTGAACTGGTTAAAAGGTAAAGTGTTAGAATTTATTTCTTATTATTCTATGATCTCAGAGACAGAAACAAATAAGGTGAGCCCTACAACTGCCAAAGCTTACTGCTTGAAGGAAATTTCCAGGCTGCAGTGCAGGGAAAAGAAATTCAAACACAGCGCAACAATCTTGCTGAATTGAGGAGACAGAGATGGAAGTTCAGAGAAGCTGAGGCAGTTAAGATTTGTAAAGCAAATTAACAACAGCAAATTAAACCCAAGTAAGAAGAAAGGAAAAAATAAAGATCAGAGCAGAAACCAATGCAAGAGAAAACAACAACAATGAAGAAGAATAATGAAACCAAGAGCTGGTTCTTTGAAAACAAATTTTTTTGAAGTCAAAAAAAAAAAAAGAGAAGACATAAATTATTGATATCAGGCTTGAAAAAGGGGACATCACCACAGATCCTACAGACTTTAAAAGGGTGAGAAGAGAATATTTATGAATAACTTTTTGCCAATAAATTTCACAACTTAGATGAAACAAGACAAATTTCTTAAAAAACACAAACTGCCAAAGCTTGCTAAGAAATAGATAACTTGAATAGTTCTATATCAATTAAAGAAACTGAATTTATATTAAAATCCTTCCAGGCCCAAGTCACTTCATTGGTGAATTCTACTAAATATTTAACGAAGAAATAATACCAACTGTATACAAACTCTTCCAAAAAATTTAAGAGGAAGGAACATTTCCCAATGCATTTTATGAGGCCATTATTACACTGACAAATACAAAGACATTCTAAGAAAATTATAGGCCAGTAGCCTTCATGAGCATAAGATATAAAAATCCTTAACAAGAAGGGGCAAAGGAAGATTTGGTGAAAGGGTACAAAGTTCCAGTTAGACAAGAGAAATAAGTTTTAGTGATCTATTACATAGCATAGTGACTACAGTTAATAATAACAATGTATTACATATTTTAAAATTGCTAAAAGACTTTAAATGTTCTCACCACAAAAAAATGATAAGCAGGTGAGGCAAGGGACATGTTGATTAGCTTGATTTAAGCACTCCACAATGAACACAGTCAAGGGCCACATATCATTTCAGTCAATGATGGATCACATATGTGACAGAGGTCCCATAAGATTTAAGATTATAATGGAGCTGAAAAATCCCTATTGCCTAGTGATGCTGCTACTGTCATAGCACAATTATTTTTATTTTTTATAAATTTAATGTAGCTTATGTGTACAGAGTTTATAAAGTCTGCAGTAGTGTACACTAATGTCTTAGGCCTTCACATTCACTCACAGAAAAATTAGCCTGGCATGGTGGTGGGCACCCATAGTCCCAGCTACTCAGGAAGCTAAGCCAGGAGGATCGCTGAGCCCAGGAGTTGGAGGCTACAGTGAGTTAGGATGTGATGTCATGACACTCTAGCTTGGGAGACAGAGCAAGACCCTGTCTCAAAACAAAGAAACAAACAAACAAAAAAAAAAATGAAAGAAGCCAGACATAAAAACTTACATTTTGTATGATTCCACTTAAATGAAAAGTCTATAATAGGCAAAACCATTGTGATGAAAGTACATGGGTGGCAACTAATGGCTAGGAGTGGGCGGGGACAGACTGTAGAGGGGTACTAGGGAACTTTTTAGGGTGATGGAAATGTTCTATATCTTTTTTTTTAAGAGACAATTTCTTGCCCTGTCACCCAGGCTGGAGTGCAGAGGCATGATCATTGCTCACAACAGCCTCAAACTCTTGGGCTCAGGCAATCCTCCTAGCTCAACCTCTGGAGTAGCTGAACTACAGGCACCCACCACCACACCTGGCTAATTTTTAAATCTTTTGCAGAGACAGGGTCTCACTATATTGCCCAAACTCCTGGCCTCAAGCGATCCTCCTGCCTCGGCCTCCCAAAGTGCTAGGATTACAGGCTTGAGCCACTGCAGCCTATTTCTTGATTATGGTGGTGGTAACATACACATTTGTCAGAACTCATCCAAATTGTAGAATTTTACTGCTATTCAAGTTTACCTCAATAAAACTGATTTATAAATGTGTTTATATTATACTTTCAAATATACACAAAAGAATAGTCAACAATATAGTTATGTTTTGTACATTTACTTCTTGTTTTATAACATAGCTTAGTCACACTACCAATATATCCTGTCTCCTGCTCTCACCAAGCATCACAATTACTCCTGTCACTCAAAATTCATCTAACTGCACATTATTTTAAGAAGGAAATTTCAGATTAAGGGATATATATTCAACATTTAATTGTTTATATACAAAACGGTTACTACGAAAGTGATTTTAAAATGACTAAAATTCTAAGAGAACTTAAGAGTCTCTAAAATCACACATCAGCTTAAAACTATATAAAATTGCCATTTTTATAGGTTGAAAACTGTTAAAGATTGGCAATTTCATGTCTCAACCTAGTACATTAAATAATATAAATGAAAATCTTATTAACTTTAAAAGTATGACAAATACTATTATATTGCTTTAGAAATAGTGGGCATCAACAAATATTTTTTCTTGTTTGTGGGTTCAACAACAGATGATTGCACCTATTTTAGCTTAGTCAATCCTTCTTCCCTTTAAAAATACAAAGAAATAATTGTTCTACCTAAACTACTTAAAAAAAAAAAAGCCAGGAAAATCTATTTTAAGCATAATCAATTTTATTTGGTGGCTTTAAAATATTTGGAAGAAAAATAATATGCTCCCTTTAAGAAGATGGTATAAATAGAGAAATCGTTAATCAGGAATTAAAAGCCTTGGGTACACTAGGAAAAAGATGAAGAAAGAGAAATTAGGAGCAATTAGTGCTCACTTAGTATAAAATAGGTTAATTAACACTTTTCCTTTAAAACTAGCATTCCTGAACAGATAAGGTAGATCAGTGCCACTAGAAGCCAAGAAAGGGCCTAGAAGAGGGGAAAAAAAGATACTATAAGATTCTTCAGGAGGTGAAGGAAAGCAAATATTTAGATAAGTTATTTAGATAAGTAAACATGTCATTGATATTTAACATAAACTTGGGTGAGTTCATTTTTTTTCTTTTCTTTTTTTTTTTTCTAGATAGGGTCTCACTCAGTCGCTCAGGCTGGAGTGCAATGGCGTTATCACAGCCCACAGCAACCTCAAACTCCTGAGCTCCAGCAATCCTCCTGCCTCAGCCTCCTGAGTAGCTGGGACTATAGGTGCACACCACCACGCCTAGCCAATTTTTCTATTTTTTGTAGAGATGGGGGTCTCACTACATTGCCAGGCTGGTCTCCAACTCCTGGGCTCAAGCAATCAATCCTCCCTCCTCGGCCTCCCAAAGTGCTAGGATTATTGGCTTGAGCCATCGCACCCAGCCTCATAGTTCTTTTAACCTTTGCATTAAGCTAAATACGATATTATGAATCTTTTAATATTTAATCTCAACATACTTAGTGTTTTCAGCAAGTTGTTATTTCTTACAGAAAAAGCAGAAGTCACTGGATGTGTCAAAAATCCTATTTTAGCTGCACATTTAAAAAATGCTTACCACTAGATCCTAGCTACTTAACAGGCATCTTGTGACAATTAACCAAAATGCAGGTCAAAAAAAAAAATGAACAAAAGGAAGATCTAGTTACCCAAGAGACTTTGAACCCATTATACTATTTTAATGATGAAAGTAGCACTCGATTCATTACAACATTTAGGAATTCCTCTGAGATGGCAGGTTTCAAGAAAAATTATTTTGAAATAATTTCAAACTTTCAGAAGAACTGCAAGATCAGTACAAACGACTCCAGTATCTCCTTCACCCAGATTCACCAATTAACATCTTCCCCCATTTACCTGTTCTGTGTGTTTTTTTCTAAACTGTTTGAGAATTAGCTACAGACATCACCATGCTCATCAACCCTAATATTTTGGCATATACATTTTAAAAACAAGGGCATTCTCTCTTGTAACCAGAGAACAATTATCAAATTGGTAAAAATTTAACACTCATTCAATACTATCATCTGGAATATAGGCCACATTCAAATTTCACCGATTATCCCAATTTTCTCCCCCGATGCAAGAGCCAATCTAAGATTGTACATTTCATTTACTTGTCATGTCTCTTCAGTCTCCTTCAATGTGGAATAGTTCCTCAGTCTTATGTTCATGACCTTAATATTTTTGAAGAACTGTTTTACAAAATCTCTCAATTTGGTTTGTCTGAAGTTTCCACATCATTAGATTCAGCACATTTTTGGTGTGAATAGCACAGAGGTGCCACTGTATCCTTCTAGGTACATCGCATCAGGTGACGATCGCCTGGTCACAGTGGTGCTCCCTCAGTTTCTCCACAGTAAAGTTTCCACATTTCTCTTTGTAATTACAAGTAATCTGTGGGGAAATAGTTTGAAACCAGGTAATTATCTTGGTTCTTCTTCAAACTTTCTACTGTTGATTCTCCCACGAATCAATTATTAGTATGATGCTGCAAAATGGTGATTTTTCT